CAATTTTAAACTGGAGCAGAGGAACACCCAGGGCCTGCTTTACACCCCACTGTAATCATGGTTTGCTTAACCATGGTTTATTGAATAATCCCCACTGATGGGGTTGTTGTTAAGCTACAAGTAAAAATTCCTGTGATAGCTTAAAGTGGTGCTTCTCAACCTTGGCAACTTTAAGAAAGGAGAACTCCACCCCCAAGATTTCCCCGGCCAGCCTGGGGGAATTCTGGGAGTTGAAGTTCACATATCTTAAAGTTGCCAAGGTTGAGAAGCACCACTTTAAGCTATCACAGGAATTTTTACTTGTAGCTTAACAACAACCCCATCAGTGGGGATTATTCAATAAACCATGGTTAAGCAAACCATGATTACAGTGGGGTGTAAAGCAGGCCCTGGGTGTTCCTCTGCTCCAGTTTAAAATTGCCCATATCTTGTGACATCACCAAACCTTGCAATATTCTGGAAAATTTACCAAGAGGAGCCTAAAATCTCTTCAGTGGTTTAATTTGGGGAGGTGGTCGAAGTCATTTCAGGGGACCTCGGTCTCCATTTCTTGGTAGGAGCAGCCTGTGAGGCGAGGAGGAGCTTTTTAACGGGATATAATTTTGTCAGTGAAAAGGGAGCCACGAGGCTGCCGCGGCCACAAAGAAGAAATTCATAACTAGAGGTTGCTTCAGGACACGTGAAGGGAGGGCGATGGGAAGAGGCATCTCCACCCCCCCACAAAAGTTCTAGGATCAACAGCTTTCAGCGGGAGATGCTGAAATCTCAGGAACTGGGGAAATTCAGGGACGGGTCCCTGGTGGGACCTCGAAGGCTGGGAGTTTGTGGAAAAGGTGTCCCAACTAGGCGCCCCCAAGCTAGGAACTGGCTAAAGTTTGCGCCCAGCATAAAATGAAGTCCGCGTTAGGGTCTTCTTCCGCCAGCGCAGAATCGCTCCCTCCAGCCTCCTGCAAACGCTGTCGCTGGCCTGTTTCATACCTCGTGCTAAGCCGGGTTCGCTTAACCAAGGTTCGCTGAATAAGCACAGCTGGCTGGGTCACAAATAGTCCTCCAGGCACAGTTGGCTGGACTCCCACAACATGCTAAGCCAAGTTTATACAAATTGCATTCTGGCTTTGTGCCTCACCAGTCCTAACCTTCCCCGGGCTCCGGTTTGGTCTTTATTGCTGGTGATCCGTGTCTGACTTGCAAACGGCTGACGTTTCACTCTTTCCGTCGTGCAAACGAGCAAGAAAGCCACAGCAACTGAGCTAAAACGAGCAAGTCCCAGCCCAGATGTTCTGTTTCAGTGATTTTGAGAGGCATCTGGCTGATGGAGTTGTGCAGTGAGGGATTCAGTAGGGGCAGTGGACCCAGGCCAGGAGCTGCCCCAGAGCCTTGAGCCTCTTGGCTTCAACAGGAGTGGCCTCAACCCCCTTCTCCGCCCTTCCTGCTTTCACCCGCAGCATCACGGCGACAGCGTCTAGCGTCGGCGCAGCTGGCATTCCCGCAGGAGGCGTCCTCACCCTGGCCATTATCTTGGAGGCGATCAGCTTGCCCACCAATGACATCTCTCTCATCCTGGCAGTGGACTGGCTTGTGTAAGTATGGCCGGCAAGATGGACAACAGTCCGTGATCAGGGACTGCCCAGTATTCCCTGATCAGGTTAGTGGAACCATAGAGTAGGTGGGCCAGCTAATCAGTGCAACCATAGAGTAGGTGGGCCAGCTAATCAGTGCAACCATAGAGTGGGTGGGCCAGCTAATCAGTGCAACCATAGAGTGGGTGGGCCAGCTGATCAGTGCAACCAAGTCCCATGAGACCTGGGACTTTCCACCTGCAAGGCCGTTGCTCCTTGCCTCTGGGTGCATTCTGGAAGGAGGAGTCGGACCGTCCTTGTCCAGCCGCCCTCTGGAATCTTGTTGTGTTTCTGTGTGACGAATGGGGCGTGTTTCCCCAACAGGCATGCCTGGTGCTGCTGCGGGGACCAGGGGGGGGGG